TTGCCCCCCTTGTGTTGTGGTTCGCGTGAATTGGACAGGGCCACGTCCAAGATTTCCGTGCATGTACATACATGCATTGAAGTCACCCAGATAAACTATTGTTCATTTCCTTCCATTGTGTTTTCTCTCAACCGGTTACTATGACAATTCAAACAACATGACCATGTTTCTAGTGACAATGAAAAAGCTTATTCTAATCGAACCCATATCCAATCAAACATTTTCCGGGTAGATCACTTATTGTAGTCCATTTTATTCGATTTTGATGCCTATAAAAATTTAATAAGCACAGCTGGGGTTCAACGCAAAATCTCGCAACCGTTCATGCTAGGTATACGAAATGGTTTAAATCGGTAAATATTATTTAACCAGTACTTTCGGGCAAATGTGAAACAGATGAGACGTGTCACGTTGTGGACCCCGATCAAATGCGCAGTGGACATTATTGAGATGAATTTATTCATAAAGTATATCTCAGTGAAAATGTTTTGTCTCTTCATTCCTGTTAACAGATAGAGCCAGGAAAACTGTACCTGTGTGTGTATAATGTTGACGGACAATAATGAGCTATTTGGCAGACTCGTATGTGTAGAGAGCTCGGCAACACAAGCACATTTATCTGCTACTCTTCGAGGTAATTCATTCACTCCGCAAAACTACAAACTACCACCTTACTGGACTCAATGATTTCCTAGACGTGCTGCTATGTTTGGGCATTCTGAAACCGCTCATTTTTACCAAAGGAAATAAGGAAACAGTAGAAAAAATGAAACTATATGGTGTTGTTGTACGCCAAACTAGGTACAGCATGCATTATCCCTTTGTGGCCTAAAAGACGATTAATCTGTACAATTACCCTGTGCGACATTGGAAGTAACAGACTGTGGGTATTTCATATACTAAAGCCTTTATCTGATCTATACACCAAATCAATATCTGACGCAACAATATACGGCAAGGAAATCTATTCGCACCCTCTCAGTTGCTTGGAAGCAGTTCACATGAGTAGTCAATGTAATGTAATGCATTCAAAGAACGAGACTAGTAATAACAATAAGGTAGGAATGCAAAAAGGCAGTAACCAATTATCGCGTACTGTTAAACTAACAAAACCGATGCACAAAATTGTCAGCAGTCTCGGAATTTCACCACAACAAAGTCACACAGTTTTACAGTTTTAGCAATAAAAATTTTAGAGGTGGTAAGTAATAGAAAGTTAAGTGGTCATAAACATCCATTGTTGTCGTCAGTCTAAAAGTGTTCGTTGCTAGGGTGAACAAACAAGCTATGGCAACCAAGCATATAGCTTGAATAGAACAAAAAACTCCGCCATCATAATAATTACCCATGAAAATAAGGTCAGTGCAATGGAATAATTTTACATATCGATGTATTTTTGACATTTGTCTGTTTGAGGAAAATAAGAGGGCAAGTGAAACAGAAGTGATGTGGATAACCTGGTCTGTGGCGCTTTCAAGCAATTTTTCACGTTCACGTGAATCACATAAACGAACTAAGGAAATTGAGACTGGAATGTGTTGGTAAGAGAAGTAGAGAGGAGGATAAATAAAAGATTACGTATACATTTTGATGGCTAACATAAACTGTGATTAGATCTTTGGTGTGAAACCTTTTCCTCAACATTTGAAATGACTTTCTTGTTGGTAAATTTACTGATGCTACGAGAAATAGATTTATTTTCAGAATGAATCGCGATGAAGAGCCTAGCTTGTAACACGAAATAGGAAAAGCCGTGTCGAATCCGACCACTCGCTCAAAATGTTTAACTCTTCTGCACTCACACCTGTCCACAGAAAAAAACCTTTCCCAATCTTGGCGGTATTTTCGCAAAAAGTGTACTAATTATCAAAAACATCTCAAAGAATGAAAATTATGCCAAAAACATTCTCCCCATAATGCACTGTCATAGTGAATTGTTTTCTCCAACAAATGAACTTTTGTGCCGTTAAAAGTTTGCCCTTCAGGTGCAAACGTGTAGTTCGATTTCGACTGAAGAACTGAGCTCGACGTCAGTAAATTATGAAACATAATCATCGCACATACCTGCATCACCGCGGCAACAGAATTTCTTTACGTATTTAAACAGTAGCCACGAACGGAGTGCTAATATGTGCAACTGAAATCCAAAACTTATAAAGTACTCGGAATAAACCACGGTTCAGTCCGAATTAGAGGTGACCTGTATGCATGATTCACCTATTTATATTGAACTAGATTAGCACAAAAACTCAAATGATTAATTTCCAGGATTCTACTACAAAACAGGTGAACATGACAGCCACTGAAACTTTTCTGGTGATCGCAACTCGAATAAAAGGTTATGATTAGTTAGCTTACTCCGTTTAAACACTTGGTTTCCTTCGACGTTCCTTATTCTTGTTTCTGGTCCACTCGCTAGACATCATCAGAAACAAGAATAAGGAACGTCAAAAGAAACCAATTATTTAAAGGGGTAAACCGACTGATCACAGTACTCAGCCCGGTTTGTTTGTTCCTAGTACAGGCAGTAATTCCTCAATACATACGGGATAAACAAGCATGAGCAGAGATAAGCGATTTCGGTAAAAACGAGAAATCGTTTCCAAACAGTGTGACACCAACGTGACACAGAATGAATCAAGTTCAGTTATATGGAAAGGGAAGGGGAAGCACAGATCACAAGTGGAGATATGAAACCGATCTGGTAGTACCAGTAGGTCACGTTAAATGTGCCATCCTGTTCATGAATGAAACTTCTCCGCAACGAGCTGGAGGGAGGAAGGCGGGGATAATGCACAAATACTGACAGTTTTGTGAGTGAACAGGTTTCAAGTTTGAAGTATACCAAGTACGTCGGGGTTGATTTGTTTACTAGGGATTGAATATGCAAGGGTCTAAGAGGGATGATCTAAATATTGAATGTATTTACTGCAATGCGGGATGGGGGTCAAACGCGGAGGGAGCAACAGAACAAACTAAATGGGTCTTGAATTCATCGGCGTAGATCTTTACCAGTAACTTCCGTCTAAGCACAGTTTTCACTCAGGTACTAAAGGTATACAGTTTAAGGACCGACAACACCTGTGTTGTATTTTGGCTGATGTCGAGGACAGAAAATAAGTAGAGAATACCTCATCCGAACAGATAATTCACCATGGAAACTGAATAGAATGATAGCCTGGGTTCCTTGACATAAATATCACCCCAAAGCCAGATGGAACTACATCACGATCGGTCTAGTGTAAGACAACTCGGACAGGTCAGTACGTGCACTTTGGAAGTTTTGTGCCAATAGCATATGAAGGTGGCCTTGTTCCTACCCTATTTGATAGAGCCCGTCGAATTTGTACTGATGACACGATATCAAACGAGATCAGCCTTTTGCGTAACACGTTAACGAAAAGTGGTTATCCCGAGGAATTTGTTGACAAACGCAGTAGATTGAAGATTGAAAAGCCCATTTGTGCGTCAGCATCTAGATTGGAGATAACGATTTTTCTCCATTCAAAGGTGATGATGTAACTAATCTAATTCATCAACGGTTACGAGCGATTTTCAACCGGACTTATTACACAGCCAAACCCAGAATTGTACACAGGACAAGGATTACACCCGTTCCACCGGTTAAAGAACGCCCGTCTCTGTGCGCCAACTCAAAAGTAATCTATCAATTCCAATGTGGGTACGGAGACACTTACATAAGCGATAAGGGTTCAACGCAAGGTTGTCATGTCAAGCCCACACAGCCGGTAACTGGTAAGGACCGTGTTTACAAACTACCAAGCTCTTGTTCATGACGCAGCACCTTGTGGATCGCGAGAAAGCACTTCGAGTGATTTTTACTAATGATAACACCCGATCAAGATCACCGAGATGATTGCAATGGAGCGATGGAAACCAATTCTGTGTCAACAAAAAGACTTGTTCATCACCTTGTCTTTGTCTTAGTGACGCTTCCCACCGTTTAGCAGTGTTGATTTCGTAATCCGTTCACAAATCCTATTTGAACATGTTATTTGTCTGCAGTAGACATCAGTTGAGATGCAGCGAAATCGTCCAGGACATAGATCATGTTATACTGGCTTCTTTTTTCAAATGTATCACGGGAAAAGCTTGTTTCAGTGGAGAATACGTTTAACTCGAAAAAATTCGACGGGGAACGTCACCGAGGGTGGATAGAAACATAGCATTACGATGCAGTTTATTTTGGTAACAATATTGTGCTACAAATAATTAGACCCCAAGCCGATTAAACGGCGCAAGTGTAGCACTAACGGATGAATGGTTATGATCGGGACAAATGCAAGAATCCATAGAGCAACGGGGATAATCTCAATCCTTCTGAAATACTACCCCGTATCCCGTAAGTGCTACACATGGAACTGATTATCTTATTTGCATCTAGGAGGGACAGGCTAATTTTTCAGGTCACCTGATAACCAATCCATGTTGGACCTGCCGGTGTACATTTCGGAATTGGTAAGCAAAATATGAGATCAATGA